TTTCCGTCCTAGAGTGGTAGAGGTCCAAAAATATGCAGATGTGTGTGAAAAAAATTAGCGTCAGATAGAGCAAATGTACTAATTGGAGCTTTAGCATGCTTAAAAACCTTAGCTCGCTGATATTTATCATAATTTCTAGTTATAATCATCATGATAATGCGAAACTCGTTCATTGCTGCACTTTTATTTGGTGCTGCTTGATGTCTTGCTAATGTCGCTGTTAGCCCTAATGAGAAGGGCAGCAGCATACGAGTTTTTCATGCCATTGAAGATAATAATGACCTTGGGATTTGATCTCGGTTATGCTATGTGGCAATCAAATAGCATACCGAAAGTTCTCGTGCGACATTATCTGATATTCGAGCTGTTTTGTAATGCGAGCGTTTTTGTTTGTCTCTACAGATCCCTACAAATTTTTTTTTCTACAAATAATATTTATTTACATTTTAAAAGAAGACATTCGTAACGTATGTTAAGCGCTAGTAAGAAATGGCCCTGGTGCACCGGCAGCTCCTTTGCTAACGTAACAAAAGCGAAGGAGAGGGTTGAAGAATTATTTCAGCGCCACTTCTCTTGAACTAGAGAGCGTTCACTATAAATTAAAACCAAGTACCGAAGTAAACTGCCACTGTCGAACTTCTTGCGTCTGAAAATAACTCGAAATGCCCTGGATTTCAAAAGTACCCTTCAAACAGGGGTTACTAGAATTTCATTCTTGTAAAATTATATTTAATATTAAATACGTTTTCCTTCAGTTCATTTCGAAGTCATAAAGTCTCTTTTACAGAGAATGTGTTTTGGTCACCTTTAAAAAAATTAATTCGCAAAGAATAGTTTGGAGAATTATAAATTCAGTTTATGAAAAAAAGAATGTTTAAAAGCTTGGGAACCCCTGCTGTAAGCTATTTTGCTATGAGTACTGAGTAATAAGTTTAGCAAAATCAAGATTTTTCTTTACAAAGATATTTTACAATCCTTCATTGATCCGTATTAAAACTTTAGGGAGCAGTTAAGTGTGATGTAAATGTCTTCAGTTTGAGCTTTCATGCATTTTTCGGATATTCGTCGGAGGCAAAAACGTCGGAGGCGTTTGGCTGCTTTAAGTGTGTGGGCGACATTTTAGTATGCCAAAGGAAGTTAATATAATGTGAGGAATAGCAACTAGGGAGAAGAGGAAAATATATGGGAAAAAAATGGGTTTAAGGATGTGTTCATTTTTGTTTGGTAACTGATTACCGATTTGATCCTGTTATCTAGCTAAATTACTGTTAACAATCAAGTAATGTGCATTTATGACAGAAGCGTAGGACAATTGCTACACTTCTGTCATAAATGCATATATATGCATTAATCTATCGCATTTCCGGTCATATGATTTACATATGTATTAAATAACTAGCTACATTTAACACTTATTTCTGGATGTGTACTATGTTAATGCTTTCTGGTTTGAAAGACTACACATTGAAGCATTATGTATATGCTTGTAAAAATATTATTTCAGATTAAAATTCTCAACTACGATGAAAATATGCCTCTATTATTTACTTTTAAAAATGCAGTATTTGATAGTCTTCCACACAGCAGCCATTCTGGAATTTGTTCTGTAATGTTATATAATGTTCGTTAATTATTTAATGCATTATTTTTCCCGACTATTTATTTTCATAAAAAATATATAATCAATATATAGAATGTTAGTTTAATATATTTATCTCTTCTTTAATTATTCTATCCACTATATTTTTATTTATGTGAACCCTTGATAATTTATTATATTTTGATTATAAGTATCATTTAAAAGTAATTAATAAGTTCATTAAATCTTCCTCTAAAACACTGCTTCTCAACCGGAAGGGGGATTTCATAGTTTCGTGGTATACGGTCAGCGTTTTATTCTTCAGTTAAGCATTCAGGTTTAGTTTATGGATATAAAAACTACTTTTTTCTCAAGTTTTGGTATTTATCAACATTTTCTCTACACTTTCTGTTGTTCAATCTCATATAAAACGCTTTCGAAAGTAACACAATAGAAATTGCAATAGAACACAAAAAAATTCAAAATTTCTAATATATACATCCCACTAAATAATAATCTCAGCGCACAAGTTGATTCAGCAGAACTGATTCACCTCCTTAATTCTAATACTTCTACCATTGTCGGAGGGGACTTTAGCGCCAAACACCCCTGCTGGAACCGGAGACCTGCAAACAAGAAAGGAAATGGCATATTTAACCTCATTCAATCAAATAATTACAACATTCATACCCCAGACGAGCCCACCCATTACGGGTAATATTGCGCCACCACAACTGACTTCTTCATCTCAAATAACATTACTAACAGATGGAATATTTCTGTAATTTCAGCCCTCTCTTCCGAACACAACTCCATTGTATTTAAAATCTCCATTGAACCTCCCTTCACTTGACAGAAGTATCGGAGTTACAAATTGGATCAAATTCTCAGAAAAATTCTGAATAACTCTATACAAGAAAATCCATGCATCAACAACAAAGAACAGTTAGAACAAGAAGTCTCAAAATTTACCAACTGCATCAATTCTGCTTTAAGGGAAGCCACCAATACTTTTTACGTGAACAAGCCTTTCCTTCCCCTGCCAGCCGATATAAGAAATAGTATTAAAAAGAAAAACCTGATCCGTAAAAGAAGGCAAACCACCAGGGATCCACAACTCAAACGCGAACTAAACTCTATGCAAAAATAAATTAACAGAAGAATCAAGAACAAGAAGAAGAAAAACCAACAATGGACCAATTTCCTAAATAACCTAACTATAGACGAAAATTCCCTATTTGACATTTCCCGCAAATTCAGGAATCCTTATAAACCTATCCCACCTATACATTGACCTAGTGGAATTTCATATACAGAAGAAGATAAAGCTAAATCTTTTGCGGACTATATGGAAGATACATTCACTCTTAATCTCACTCCGTACGACAATAACCATATTGAACGGGTCAACCAGGTGGTCAATAACTTCCTTAAATACCCCTGCTCCGTACAACTTCACTTTCCTGACTACCCCAACAATCGTTGCCAACACCATCAGCGCCTTACAAACGAAGAAAGCCCCAGGGCACGATGGCATCTTGACCAAAGCACTGAAGCATCTTCCGATCAACGCTCTTACCTGCGTAACTAAGATAATCAACAACATTATCAAATTCTCTCATTTTCCTAGCCCATGGAAGCAAGCTATAATAATTTTTTTTGCTAAACCGCAACAAAATCCCACCTTTCCACGGAACTATCGCCCTATCAGTAAAGTTACTGAGAAAATTCTACTTTTCCACATCCAAAGAATTCACTCTTCCATGAATTTCCCCCAGAAGAACAATTCGGTTTTCGCAATCATGATAGCACTTGCCACCAACTTTTTAGAGTTATCAACATTATCATTGAAGGCTACAACTGCAAAGCTTCTGACCGGTGTCATATTCCTAGATAACGCGAGAATTTTTACAGAGTATTGCATCGCGGCTTTATTTACAAATTAATCGCTCTCAATTTTCCATATCATTTTATTCGCTTAATAACCTCTCTTCTCAGCAACAGAACATTCAGAATCAAAATTGGTACTGCTTACTCAACCACCAGAATAATCAAAGCTGGTGGCCCACAGGGGTCGGCACTTTCGCCATATCCTTTTAATACTTATACGCAAGACATCCTTAAAGACCCTTCTGTTCATCTTGCACTCTTTGCCGATGGCACCTCCATACTTACTAAACACTGCACAGCAATCGCCGTCAGAAACCAACTCCAAAACTATCTCATAAAACTAGAAAATGGCTCACTCTCTGGAGGATTAAAATTAACACTGATAAAACCAAGGAAATAATTTTCCGTAAAAGAAACATGAAATACTATCCTCCACCCCCTGAAATATTTGACGAAGAAATAAACTGGATTAATGAAACCAAATATCTTGGAGTCACCCTAGATTCAAAAACTTACCTTCAGAACCACACTTCCTGCTCCAGTAGCACAAAATTTTAGAAATCACCACAGCTACTATGCGACCTCTTCTTGGTAGCAGGAGCAACTTATCTACTAACAAACAAATTCAATTTTATATTCGCTCCATACTTCGTCCAGCCCTCCTTTATGCAGCTCCGATCTGGGGACATGCAACTAAAACCAATATTAAACAATTACAAATTCTGCAAAATAAAATTTTATGAGAAATTATCAATGCTCCTTGGTATATTCCAAAAAACCTACATTCACAGAGACCTTCAAGTAGAACCTATTCAAGAGTATATTAAACGATTAGCGGTCAACTTCTTTCATTCAGTACAAACCCACAGTAATAGCCTTATTAGCACTCTCAGACACTCCCCGCATTCCGGTGAAAAACATCAGTACCCGTGTGACTTCCTACCCACATAAGAATTACAACCTTAATTGACTCATTCCCGCTAAATTGACTCTGCCGTCTGTCACCCGCTGCTACATCTTGTAACGACACTGACTCTTTTTTCCCCCTCCGACACCTTCTATTACTTATCTTTTTCTTATCACTTATCTTTTTCTTTTCTTTCCAGATTGTTATCAGAAGCCGAGTAAAATGCTGTTTCTACATCTTGGCACTCGAGAATAAAATACGATTTGTATATAAAACGCGTTGAAAAGTTATCTAACTCTATACACAAATATATATATAATATATATATATATTACCAGGTTTTTAAAGGGGGGAAGGATTTTCTAGCTGTGATAAAAGGTAAGTAAAATGTAAAAGGAGACGTGGGGGGGGGGAAATGCTGAAAACTCTGCTCTAAACAGTTATATTATGACCAACAGAGAAACTGTGATAGACCATACCAATTATTTAACAATAATTTAACGATAGAACGTTAAATTATGGCTGTACTGTTCGTACGTACTGTTCTAATACACTTTTAGATAGGCGGTGGGTGTGGATGAATGCAGATGACTACCAACCGAGCCTCAATAAATATTTGAATTTGCAGAGTGGCAACATCTTGTTGTTAGCGGTGGACAACAAGGTCGAAAGAACTGTGCGAAAAACATTTAAATATTCTCAATATAAATATATAGAAACATGTTTAGTTCCGTAGTAAAAGTTACAACTCTTGCACCATCATGGTAAATATATTTTAACAATGTTTGAAGGATTTGATGTTTAATAAAGAATACAATCTAGATTTCACTCTGCTACTCTCATATCGTGCTAAAATGAAGAAATTAAAATTTTCTCGAAATTGTTTTTAGGATTATGTGTAACTGTGCTGATTATATGGTTTGGGGAATATTTCTGCGAATGAGAAATTTTGATATATATAAAATCCCCCTTTTTGGGGGGAAGAAGGTATTGATATCTGGGTTCGAAATTACAATATATAATTTTAATCTAATGTTGATATTTTTTTCATATAATAAAATATGTTAAGCCGCATAATCTGGATGACTATCAAAAATTTAATCAGCAGAATCATATATATGTTATGTTTCTGTAGAAATGTTTTACTGAAAGCTTAGCGTTTAATTTTATAACATTTCTTGAATTATTAGAAATTTCTAACATACTATTAAATTATAACTAAGTATACTGTAAAATAGACTAGTTCATATTATGTAGACTTTTTTGTGCATACCAAAAGAGTTGCATATTTTCTGTTTTTTCATATAAAATATGGATAATGTAGACATTTTTATTAATAAAGCACATCTGAAACATAAAAGTGTGATGCTGAATTTCTAAAACTAAATCTAATCTTAATTAAACTATATGTATTTCTTTGAAAGGCTACATTATAAGATTATTTCAGAATTACTTCTGATTTTATTCAATTTTCAAGAATTCAGTTCAGCTGGTTGACTTATTGATGATACCATAATGAAATGAAAACGAGGAATTATTAATCATAGAAATTAAACAAAAGGTGTATTCTTTTTGGTAAAAATTTTCTATGCAGAATAATGCATGAGTATTGTATTATTGTTATAAATATTTGTTACAGATAGAAGTTAAAAAAATAAAAAACTGAATTGAACTTGATTTTATAATCATATTATGAAACATTTTGTAGTAATTTTAATAAATTATAAAAATTACATACCTTTTGATGTTGTCTTTTGTTTTCATATCTGGGATGCAGCTCAATAAGTATTTTGAACATTTATGTTTTTTCTAATGTTTCCACGGTTTTTGTAAGTGAATGCATGTTGCTGTTTAAGAATTTTTAACCATTGCAGTAAATATAGAAACTAGTTACATTAGTCTCCCAGTGCTGTTCCATTATTAGGACCGGATTCAGAAATATATGTATGTAAGCATGTGTACACACACACATGTATATATATGTGTGTGGTGCTACTTTGGTGGACGGTTGCATGGATTTCTGGCGATTTACTTTGCCGCGGTTTTTACTATCGTTAGCCATCTTGAAAAATGCTGTTTTTGCGTATTTTTGTGCATAGTAAAGTATTTGAAACTTTAAAAAAATTAATATCATTAAAAGTAATGGATTAATTTTTTGTTGAAAATATTGTTTTTTAAGATGGCAGGCAAATGTAAATAAATATGTTTACTACCAGTATAAAATACTAAAGTAAGGTTAAATTATTACTTTCATATAACAATGAAATATAATAAAAACAAGGCTATAAATACATTGCGCCAACGTTTAATTGGATTAAAATATTACTTAAACTGAATAGCGAATTAAAAACCATCATACCAACATTTAAAAGAATTAAAATATTACTTAAATTCATATACTTTAAAATAAGTAAATAAGAACGCATCGTACACTGAAGCTAAAATGACAGCAATTAGAAATTTACTGCCGGTAAAAAAGGAGGAATGTCTAATACTTTTTTTACCGTTACAGTGGTTATTTTTTCCACCGTGACCACAATACCATATACGGCCATCCTCAGAATCCACTCTTTTAACAATCTTCATCTGTGATCCAAATTTCTCGTACTTCATTGAAGAAGCAATTAGCGAGGTTGCCTCAAAAAATTTTAAATAAATTTCCTCTGACCATTGTAACAATTTATAAATAAATCTTTGGATTATGGTAACTTGGCAAACATTTGGAGACCAACCCTGCTACAGCAACCTGCTAGTTATTTTTTTTTTGGACGCCATTTTGTTTTCTCGAAGTAAAGGCATTTTTTTTTTTTCTCAACATTTATTTCCAACAATCTGCTAGCCGAATTACGCTTATGCTAGAACTTTTATGGAACAAAAAGTGATTAATCATGACGAAGATTAGGTGCGAAATTGGGAGAAAGTGCAGAATCGCCCACTGCTTGCCGTGTTTTTAAAAATTGCACATACACGGTATCATCCATGTACACGTCGACCTATTTTCACTTAAAAAAACATCCCAGAATTGCACAAAAATGGCATTGCGCACACTCTTGACTTTATCCATGTACACTGCTAAAGTCCTAGCTAGTAACCTTTACCGCCTTACCAAAATGTCACCAAACTACCTGTTACCATATTCCAAAGATTAGCCAAATCTTTGATTAGGAAAGCCAGGTTGGCCAAAATAAGGTCACGAAGGCCAATTTTTTAATTCCGATACCAATAATTCTTGGCACTTGCCAATAACAATATTAATCTTTGAAAGGGACATATCCATTCCCTATGAAATCTAAGGAATTTGAAGAGATGAATAATAAAATTTTAAAATGGTGCAATAATGCACAAATATTCTGTAACCAGTCAGGGAGCTGATTACCTCATGCATAGAATTAAAATTATTTAAATAATCATACATAATAAAATCATTTAAAAAAATGCAAAATTAAATTTTATTTTAATATTTAACAGGCATAAATAATGTTTAAAACATTAGATTAAATTTGTAGATAATAAAACCAATTACTTTTAAAGCAAGGTGATGTCATTGATTACATCATCCACAACATAAAATTATATAAAATATTATAAACAATAAAATTTTTACTTCAAATAAAAATGCAAAATTAAATCAATTTTTAATATTTAGAAGCCATAAATAATATTTAAAACACTGAATTTATGCATAATAAAACCCATTATTTTTTAAATAAATGACAACAAAGTATCGGTTACCATAAATAACTTGTCCAGCAATGGGTTTACTATAAGTCGTATCGTTTGCCAAAAAAAAAAAAAAAAAAAAAATTGCCAAAATTCATGCACCCATCTACCAAAGTAGCACCATATGTACATATACACGTTATATATATATGTACATATATACGCACATACATACTTACATTTTTAAATACAGTCCCGATAACAGAAGAGCACCAATCTTCCTAATCAAAGAAATTTCTTTTTTGAAATTCAGTATCTATCATATATTGGGTTGAATCTGATAATGTGAACTTGTTTTTTTTTTTTTTTTTTCTATAAATTTGAGGAGCAATAAAAGTGTGATAAGAATAAAGGGTACTATTCGGTTTCGAGGGCCATAAAACAATTGCACCAAAAATGTACGCGCAAAAGCGCCAAATCTAGCAAACGCACCCATTTAAAACAGCACGCCAAATCTAGCGTACGCGCTGATTTCAGATTGCGTAAGTTTATATAGTTCTATATTTCTTAAGACGCCATTGAAATACTAATTTAATTTGAAATCCTTTTTTTTTTTTTATATCGTATGGATTTAAGAATTTGGGAATTGCCCATGACAAAAATTCGGCAATAGAATTTTGGGTAAAGTGCAGAATCACCCACTGCTTGACGCGTTTTTAAGAATTGCACATAACTCGGTATCCATGCGCACATCGACTTATTTTCACTTAAAAAAAAAATCCTAGAATTGCACAAAAATGGCACTGCGTATGCCCTTTACTTTATCTACGTATACATCGACCTATTTTCACTTTAAAAGTAAAAGAAAATTGACAAAAATCCAATTGTTTTTTACACTTGTAAAAAGCGGCAAACAAATAAGTGAGCGATTCTGCACTTTACCAAGAATATTTCAAAGAAAAGGCATCATTCATTATAGAAAATTACGTTTGAATAACCAACGAGATGAAATTATGCTTTAGCGATAAGTCGGTAGTGAAATAGCGATGCAGGGCATCCATTCAGTTACGTTTAGCAATTTTTATATAAATTATAATAATGATCTGAAATAGTTATTTACTCTTATGCTTCTATTCAGTCATGTTTAGCCTTTTTCATAAAAATTATAATAATAAAAAAGTATATAAAATTAACCTTTCATCTAAATTAAAACATCAATCTTAAATAGTTATTTACTATTATACTTCCTTTCTTGCCGCAATTATTTTTGGCAGCATTGGCATCAACAATAGTTTGGCGATTTTTTACGGCCCTCGAAACCGAATAGTACCGAATAAAGTATTAGATTGGCTGTAATTCTTTAATACCTTAATAATACTCTTTCTTCAAAATTTATAAAGCTTGCACTTTCACTCACTCTTATATAGAAATTCATTACTCTTTTGTTATCAGGACTAGATTCAGAAATGTATGTAATGTGTATCTTTATACACATACATAAAATACTATATTATTTGCAATGAAAAGTGTTTCTGGAACTTCAGTGTTCACCTTAGAGCTATTCTTCAAACTAATGTGATGACGTGCAAAAAGGTCAAAGTTCAAACTTTATAAAGCTTGCACTTTCAATCACTCTTATATAAAAATTTGGTACTCTTCTGTTATCAGGACTGGATTCAAAAATGTATTTAGTATGCATGCCTATGTATGGATGTATGTGTTCATGTATGCGTGTATGTACATATGTAGATATGTATGTATATATATATATATATATGTTTACACATGCGACATGAATAGGATATTTAAAAAAGTTATTCTGATAAAAAATTTGCTGGACTAATTAAAATAATCTAAATTTGGAGGAAGCCACTTATTTATATATAGAGTTCATCTGCTTTAGTACTGCTAGGAACAATGGTGACCTAGAGCAGGGGTTCTCAATAAGGCGGAAATTAAATAGTTTCAGGGAGGGGGATGTGATCAACTTTTTTTTTAGCTGTTCAGTATTTAGTTTAGTTTATGAGTGTAAAAAAGATACTTTTGGGTCAAAATGTATTGCAGGGTGTCCCTTGGCAAGAATTGGCGATTTTTTGATGCCATT